AGAAGAAAACACAAACACGAGAACACTCTGCGTACACCCACGACGGCCAGAGTGGCAGAACCCTGACAATTATTATGTTTGTTAGCATGATATTGTTTGTTGTGTGATTGACACTAAGTACAGTTATGATAAGTAATGTTATAAAGTGTTTTGCGATTAGCATTGATTCATTATATGTTTGTTCCAATTGCCATATGCATGTGATTGTGTTTTTTATGTAACAAAGGTATGATGTCTACATTCAAAAAACATGTATAAGACTATGGGCCCTATTATACACCCGACGCAATAAGGCACATGACCTGTTTGCCCCGAAACGTTGCTATTTTCAGACAAACGCAACCTTAACACAATTTTTTCAGTTTTCTGCTACGTTGTTCAATTAGCAAATTCATTTGCACCAATTTGTGGACTCATGGGTGTTTTGGTGTAGAAAAGAGGTGTGTTAAGGTGCATTGTTGGTGCGTTGCTATTTTGAGGAACTAAAGTAGACTGCGCAATAGACCAGCTGAAAGCAGGTGTAAAGTCCAGCGCAGAGTGCGTTAGTTGTGTTCCTTGCCTACACATTATTTAAAACACGCAGGATGTAAAGCAATAGATAAATATCTTTACAAATGAAAAAGAATTAAAGGAATAAAATATTTAAAAAAATAATTATTTTCTACATGAATATAACATCCACTGCCTTCATCTCAGGGGGCTTTTTTCAGTTTATTCAACTTGCATTTGTACAAAGTTATTATTATTATTATTCGTATTATTTATCATATGCATATTTAGATTGGATTTATTAAAAACTAGCTTGGATATTTTCACCTGTCAGGTTTTGGGACATATGGGGGATAAGAACAGGACGCGTGTTTGGATACAACATAGTTGTTTGACCACACTTAATTATTATTGTTCGCTTGCCGGAAACTAGCACTGAATTTAGAAATAGTTTTGAAACAAATCTTTGCACTTAACAAGCTAAATTAAATATGTAGGCTAATGGATGTCTTATTCAGTGGAGTGTGTACAACACTGTTTCCTTATCCACAAAAGAAAGAGAAAGTAAAGAGGCTGATTGGAGGAGGCTCGTTCTTTATCCTCGTGCTGCAGAAGCTCTGTTTAACAAATGTGCCATGGCGCGACACAGCTGACTCTTAAAGGAATAGGAGATTCTGATCGGTTTAATGCACGGTATGCTCAAAACACACTCATATCTCATTAAGAGAATAAGCTCAACCACCATGCGCCGGGCACAAAGCTATTTTCCTGTCCTTAAAATAGCAAAAGTGAATTCGGCACGCCCTTAATACTTTTGCACCTTGCACTTTAGACTTTGCATCTAGATTGTTAAAATAGAACCCAATAACTTATTATAAAATATGGTAAATGGTACAGTAATGTTATGGCAGCCAAGGCTGCTGGTTTTCACGTACATTTCACAGATTTTTAAAAATAGAAAACAGTATCTTATAAACATGTATTAATATTATTATTATTATTAATATTAAGAACAGAATAATCTAAAACGCTCAAATGCCTGTGCTGTACATAACTCCTTTTAACTTTTTATCTTTCAGATTGAAAATGACCTCAGACCATTAGCTTTCACAGCTTTCGTCAGAGTACCAGTGAAACTTGGTGATACCAACATCTGGAAAAATTCTACTTTGCAGGTGTGTGATTTCATTGAACTTTTATTGTTTTACAAGCCTTAAATGCATACATATAACTCAATAATTATTATTTTTTCTCATTTACTGTTCAGAAACTTGTTTAAAAATCATGTCAATTTTTATTTATTTCTTTCTTAATTATCTTACTATTTGTTTTTAAGGTTTCTGACTGTGTGAACAATACAGAGGAGAAACCTAATAGCACAAATTTCATGGACGTTATTAAAAAACATCATGTGCTGGTGAGGAAATTGGAAAATGTTTTTTTTGTTCGGTTTTCTAAATGTACTGATAGTGAATATACACTTAAAAAGCTGTTGCTGCTTGTTTTAACTACGTACTTAAAATGAGTGGAATCAAAACAAATCTGGATTTTTTTCAGGGAACAGCTTAATTGTTTTATATTTGATCCACTTAAATTTGTAAAAGCAGCTACATTAACTTTATTGATTTGTGTTGGGACAACATGAAGGAACTGTGTGGAACGCAGCATTTTACAGTGTCCAGGAAAAAATCCCTGAAGCATTGTGTTGTTTCAGCTCATTGTAAATAAGTATTTTTAGATTTTTTTTATTTTTATTTTGAGTGTACATTAATTGGTCACACTTTACAATAAGGTTCATTAGTTAATGTTAATTAATGCATTTACTAACATGAACAAACAATGAGCAATACATCTACTACTGTATTTGTTCATGTTAGTTAACGTTAGTTAATGAAAATACAGTAGTTCATTGTTAGTTCATGTTAACTCATGGTGCATTAACTAATGTTAACAAGCATGGACTTGGATGTCAATGATGCATTAGTAAATGTTCAATTATGATTAATAAATGCTGTACATGTGTTGTTCATGATTAGTTCATGTTAGTAAATGCATTAACTAATGAACCTTATTGTAAAGTGTTACCTGTTAATTAATATCTGTGTGTGTGTGTGTGTGTGTCAGAACTGCAGTGTGGCGGTGTGTGCCGTGTTCAGCTGTGATGTGAACCTCATAAAGAATGAAAGGAAGCTCTATAATATAACTGGCAATGTGAGCTCTGCGTGGATTGAGCAGGTATCTGACTTTGAAAGCAAACACAGATCACAGAATTGTTTAATACTATTTAACACTCTTGATCTCTGCGTCTCTTAGACTGGACTCAAAAGGACTATGTTTGAGCTGGTCAGTACAACCACTATGGATTATGACATGAGCACATATGTTTTCTTTTCCTCGGATTCCAGAAACACGGCGCCGTCTTTACAGGTAATGCTATGATAGTGCATGATGTCAAGAGAGGAGAATGATTATATTATCCATTATAGTTTGGTGCTCGATTGACTGTTTCTTTATGCGTATTACTAAAATGTTTCCTCCAGTGTTTATATTTTTAAACATATTCTAAAAATGGAACAAAATAGGTGGATAGAGACATGCATTAAAAATTCACTTGCTCGTGTTTTTCACTACACTGTTAACAATTTCCTGTAGAATCTACAGTAACTTACTGTAAATCAATTCACATTTACAGCACCATTTATCTTGCTGTATGCAGTATGCATTTATAGAATTGTATGTATATTGTTATTGTAAAATATTTCGTAATTGAACTTTTAAATACAGTAACATACCACTTAACTGTCCTACAGTAAAATACAGTTAATACAGTGTCACATACAAAAATAACAGAATATATTATACTGTATATAGATCAGCACACAAGTAGAAGTGTATGAGGAGGCGGACCTGACAAAGGAGATCATTGGAGGAGTGATTGGAGGACTTGTGCTGCTGGCTCTCATCACTGCAGTCATGTATAAGGTATATTACTGTCAGAAAACCTACAGAATGTGTATTTTTAATATTTACAGCATGCATGGTTTATTAATGCATATTCTCTCTTTGCAAGGCTGGGTTCTTTAAAAGCCAGTACAAGAAGATGCTGAAGGAGGCAAAAAGAGATGAAGCACCACGATAATGCACCCTCAAAGAGATAAGGGATACTGATTGAGTTCTGTGGGATTTAAAGTCACACATATTTAACTGGTGCCCCACTTTTTGAACATAGACATTAAAATGTCATGTTCAACTTGAATGAATGCCATACTTCAGCACTTTGGTGCATAGATTTAAGTTTGGTCTAATTTTAAAGAAAACAGGTGTCAGTTTTTAGCTGTTGTGTTTATGTTTATTTAGTTATGCTTGTTTAGTTTTTTTTTTTTTTGAAATTGTGTTTTACATAAAATTTCTATTTTAAAATACCAGTTTTAACTAAATCAAAGCTTAATATGTGAACAAATTCTATTTCATATTTAAAAAGTAATCTGCCTATAATCTATGTAATATTGATGAGTAATATTTTGTTTGGCCCAAAGTATGAAACATTTGTTTACCATTTGTGACCGTACAAGGGTGCCCTTTATGTTTTAATGAACATAATCATGTTTTATTAATACAATTGCTTATATTTGTAAAGTAGACATACAATTCTTTAGTATGGGAAGTTTGGTGGTATTTGATTGGAATTTGGCCTCTAAAAACGTGGATTGCTGTAGCAAAGTAATGCTTTACGACTCTGATGAGTATACTTGTAGGAAATTAATAAAGAACTTTTGCTCAGTAATATCTACCTGAAACTGTCACTAAATATGAATACTAGAAAGTTTTTGCTTTATAACGATTTATAATGTGTCATGTTTGCTTTGTTTAGGCTACAATATTATGGTTTAAAACCGTAAATGATCCCACAGGTTGTAGGGTGACAGTAATCTACAGCAATATATGTTTGAATCTATTATTCATACATAAAAAGTAAATAAGATTAGGACTTTAATGAAAAATGTGATGTACACTGAATTGTCCTTGTAGCAGAACAGTGACAGGGGTGAACAACTAATATACTAAAAAATGTGACTTGAAATTTTATTAGAAATGTTGAATTTGCTTATATGCGCACGGTTATTGAGATGCTTTCTTTTAACTTTTCTTAACATTTTATTATTATTTTCTCTGGGTGTTTTGAAAATGTTTAATGCTGTCTATCATATATACACAGTATATATAATGCTCATTTTGTTTGATGAAATTGTGTTACTAACAAGTTTTGTAAATATTCATTTTGGATTTAAATTTCTTATTTGCACAAAAAAAGATCATGGAAGCAAGGGGCAGATTTTAACAAATATCACAAAATACTTTAAAAATTGTTTGAATATTTTCATGCATCACTCTGCAGTCTTCATAAACAAGATAATTAAATAAACTCAAAATAATCCTTCTTGTTTATTTATTTGACAAGTACACAGCAAATCAGTTACAAAATAATTTGACTAATTATTTTAACTTTCGTAGTAAACTGATTAGGTCTTTAAATTACACTTTAATCTGAATCAAAGACTATAAAATACTTTAAGGTTGTACTTAAGGTTATAAGTTATATTGCAAGACACTATTATTCAGCTTAAAGTGGAATTCAAAGGCTTAATTAGGTTAACTATGCAAGGTAGGTTAATTAGTCATTGTATACATTAACTACTAAGTTTCTAGCATATTGCTAACATGAATAAACAAAAACTAGGAAGAATTTGGCTGCTACAGCATGTTATGTACATTTAACATGCTGCTTTAATGGATCGGTATGCTGCTAGCTTGTTTCTAGCATATTTTAGAACATGTGGCATGTTTGAATGCCATGCTAGCAATACATTGCTAAAATGTTTAGATGTTTCTAGCATGTTTTAAATGTAGCATGTTGCTATAACACGTCAGTATATTTTGTTAGTTAATTTGCAAGACACTATTATTCAGCTTAAAGTGCAGTTCAGGTTAACTATGTAAATTATGCAAGTTAATTATTTTCTATATGCATTAATGTTAACTACTAAGTTTCAAGCAATTTGCTAGCATGAATGAATAAAATACTAGCATGAATTTACCTGCTACCAGTGTTTGTACATTTAACATATTGCTTTAATGGATCAGTATGCTGTTAGCTTGTTTCTAGCATCTTTTAGAACATGTAGCATGTTTGAGTGTCTTGCTAGCATTGTAGCACACTGCTAATTTATGTAGTTGGTTCTAGCAGTTAAACATAGCATGTTGCGAACATGAATTAGCATGTTGCTGCCATGTTAAGTATAATGCTACCATGATTAGCATGTAAAAAAGTGATGCACTAGTATGAACAAATAAGCTTTGAGCTAATGTTAAAAAGTTTACAGAAAATTCTAACAACATTGGTGTATTTACATGATAAACAGGGATGCTAGAGCTAGAAACAACCAAAAATATGACAGCATATAATTGTGTGATATAGACGCTGCAGATAATTGTTTTTGCTGTTCTACAACTGCTGAAGCGTTACACAGAAGAGGACGGCCAGGGCAGGAGTAACAGTAGTCTGGATCTGCTCCTGTGGAGGTAAACTGCACAAAACCTGGAGGATCGCTGCAGGTAAAGTAGGTGATCCATTCCTGATAGCGTGATACTCTGGTGTACACACCGGGAAACTCAGACTGAGCACAGCCTGAGCCAAAACTGACGATACCAGACTGGACCCATACAGAGCTCTGATTGCTCACCATCGGACCCCCTGAATCCCCCTGAAAACACACATCAGTCAAAAACTGTAGAAAAACTGTGCACAATACACTTCTCAAAAACTGGTGCTAAATTTAAATGTAATCATACTACAAGGTATATCCAGAAATCCTAAAGGAAATTTCAATACCTTTTTAAGACTTTTTAAAGATCTTCCCACAGAATATTTTAAGACCTCGTCGCCACTTCAAGTTTCAATCAGTATCAAACCTTTAACTTAATAAACAGTTGCTAATAAACAGTTGTAGTTGGATAAATGAATGGGGCACAACCATGCAACAGAACTTAGATAAGGTATTAAGTGTTACCCTTGATGTAGCTATAAGCTCAGAACTTTAAACCAGCGCACAGGTGGCATAACTTTGTTTAGTTGCAGCTGTTTTGTTCTGTGCAACAGCAGAGCGGCGTTGAGAAGCCTTTAAGCTTAAAGATCTAAATGTTTTCAGCTGCTCGCATCACTCACTTGCCTAATGTCAGGTGACTTACTCTCTGCAGCCTTCAACTGCAGCTCGTGTCGTATTGAACAGACGAACATCACTTCATAACTTAAGCGGCCGTTTTTCGACTGAAGTAAATTTATTTTTGATGTCTTGGTCACACAATTTGGAAGGCCGGAACAAATCGCCTAGCGGGTCACCAATTGAATAGCCCTGCTCTATGGTTTCTACATGTGTAGAGCATCACATCACCTCCCCATGTTGTAGCAAATTACGAAATTATCACCTGGATGGAGGAGCTTGGCCGGACGCACCCGGCCCGAACCAAAATAAATGTATATTTTTGCTTTTTTGGAGTCAAACACTTTGGACAACGCTTGAGCAAAATTTAAGACCTCATAAAAAAGGATTAAGACTTTTTAATACCTTAATTAGGGGCTTTAATTTTCTCATAATTGATTTATCAACTTTTAATACTTTTTAAGACCCCGTGAACACCCTCTACTCTCTGATTGGCTGATAGTTGTGTAATATTCTGCAAATAACAGCAGCCGTCCAGCCTCTTAACCCTTCACTCTTCTGTATTACGCCACCCACATACAGCAGCAAGCAGAGGACGCTTTATAGTTTGACAAATATTGCTGCTGTTGGGCAACAAAATGTACATTTAAGGCTTTTTTAGTCGAGAATGTTGTTGTTTAGATCACAACTAAGCAGTTTATTTATAAGGATAGTGGCTATTTTTAAATAATTATCATTTTTGAGAGACAGCATGTTGGTGGCCATTAGCCTGTCTTTGAACAAAGCGAAGACTATTGATGTTCTTTATCCACAAGATAGCGGCAGACACCGCATAACAAGACCTTAGAGGTGAAAAACAACATAATTTCAAACTACAGCTGATCAAAAAATTAATAATTTATATTCATACCATAGGAATTGAAGTGTATTGAGTGTGAGGGACTCACAGATCAGGAATGTATGTGTGTTGTGTTGGCCACTCTTTGTATAACCCTGAGTTACTTTTTGATTGGCTATCTGTTTGTTTCTAATGAGTCCCCTGTTTTTGTTACTGCAGACTAGTTTACCAAACAGAAAGTAAAAAGAAATGCCCGCATGTGTTTAGCGCTTTTCCTTATAGCAAACCTAACAGTAATATGGTATTGTTTGCGCTGCTTTGGCTTTTTTAGGGATACTTATTGCGATTTCATGATTGCAACAGAGAAATACTAGCAAATGTCTATAGACTGATGACATTTCATGCCGTTCAGCCTTATAATTTTAAAATGTGAGCGAAATCACCTGTTTTGTCAGCACTTTAAACATTACGCTACAGAATCATTCAAACACTAGCTCTAAAGTGACGTTTGTGAAGAAGCAGGTTTCTGCTGGTCTGACATCAACAGCAGATGTGTATAAATGGTGGAAGAAAGTAGGATTTTGAGACTTTGTGTGTGATTTTTCTTTTTTATATACACAATTATGCCGTCAAACTGTTGTATATACGAAATACAACACTTAAAGCAGTGCAATATGGCTGTATATCGCTACTGGTGGCTCATTTTTCCCTCAACCATGTATATACTGTATTTAATTTGTGCTATAAATCAATCTTTTGTAAGTCATGGATGATTTAGTTTCACATGAATGTTGTTCTTACTGAAAAACAATATGCTGTTAACTAAAATGGCCAAGACAGCTTAATTTTTAAGAAAACACTAAGCATGGTTTCTGTACCTGACACAAGTCTTTGCCTTCCTTCAGCAGACCAGCGCAAATCATGTTGTCTGTTATGGATCCAACTCCATAGAGACAATTACACTGTCGGTTACCAATTACAGGCACCTCCACTTCCTGAAAAATCTTTGGGGATGGAAGCGGCACTGCAGGAAATACAGGAGAACTTGTTTAACCCTTGTTTAACACTGGTTATCTTGTTTACAATGGAACCGAAGTCATTAGAAAATAAAGGTGCTGTATATATGTTTTGACTATACTGAAGCATAAAAATAACTATTTGTTTATATATTATTTAAGAAACATGATAAGTTATGGAACAAAATTGCTGAGGTATTTGAAATAAAATCTTGTTAAAAAAATTGCACTGAATTAAGTAAGTATTGATGTATGGAAAGCAAAGTATGGAAGCAAATTCTTGAGCAAATAAAGTGAACTAAATCATATTTTAAACAGAACTGCCTATTTGGATATATATAGTTATGCCCACTAGCTTTGCTTATACAATATTAGAAGTTTTTTCAGAGGAATCTGTGTTGCCACTTGAACTGAAATATGAGGTTTTATTACACTTTAAACAGGAATGATTTTTTACCTCCATCACTGATGTTTCTCCATGTGGTGATCCAGCTCTCTGTGTCGCTGTTGAACACACTGCCTTCAGCTGCTAAACACACGGGCCTGATGGAGTCCGTGAAGGTAATTGGAAAGCTCAATCTGACCAGAGCGATGTCATTATCATTCGTATTAGGATTATAATAGGGATGTTTGATGACTGCCTTCACACTTCTACTGATTCGGCTGGGATCATACTTATTCTGGGTCTTTGGTCCCAAAATCACAGTCAAATAAAACCTTTCATCAAGGAAGACAAAAAAGGGAATATAATCAAAAAGAGTGTTAACACTGTCAATTCTGAAACAAAACTTAACATAATACTTAACTATGTTGTTAGATGTTTTCTTCAGAATAATGCACACTGCATCAGGAAAGTGTTCATAACGCTTCACTTTTTCCGAAAAATGTTATGTTACAGCCTTATTGCAAAATAGATTAAATTAATTTATTTCCTCAAAATTCTACACACAACATCCCATAATGACAATGTGAAAAAAATTGTTTTTGAAATTGTTGCAAATTTATTAAAAATGGAAAATCACCTGTACATCAGTATTCTCAGCCTTTGCCGTGAAGCTCTAAATTGAGCTTGGGTACATTCTGTTTCCACTGATCATTCTTGAGATGTTTCAGGAGCTTAAAAGGAGTTCAACTGTGGTAAATTCACCTGATTGAACATGATTTAAAAAGGCATACACCTGTCTATATAAGGTCCCAGGGTTGACAGTGCATGTCAAAGCACAAACCAAGCATGAAGACAAAAGAATTGTCTGTAGACCTCCGAGACAGGATTGTCTCGAGGCAGACAGATGGGGAAGCTTACAGAAACATTTCTGCTGCTCTGAAAGTTCCAATGAGCACAGCGGCCTCCATCATCCGTGAGTGGAAGATGTGTGGAACCACCAGGAATCTTCTTAGAGCTGGCCGGCCATCTAAGCTGAGTGAGTGGGAGAGAAGACCTTAATCAGGGAGGTGATCAATAACCCGATGGTCATGCTGTCTGAGCTCCAGCGTTTTTCTGTGAAGAAAGGAGAACCTTACAGAAGGACAACCATCTGTGCAGCAATCCACCAATCAGGCCTGTATGGTAGAGTGGCCAAACTGAAGCCACTCCTCACCTGGAATTTGCCAAAAGGCATCTGAAGGACTCTCAGACTATAAGAAACTAAATTCTCTGGTCTGATGAGACTAAAATTTAACTCTTTGGAGTGAATGCCAGGCATTACCTTTGGAAAAAAAAACAGGCAGCGCTCATCACCAGGCTAATAGCATCCCTACAGTGAAGCATGGTGGTGGCGGCATCATGCTGTGAGGATGTTTTTCAGCAGCAGAAACTGGAAGACTGGTCAGGAAAGAGGGAAAGATGAATGCAGCAATGTAGGGAGACATCCTGAATGAAAACCTGCTTCAGAGTGCTCTTGACCTCAGACTGGGGCGACGGTTCATCTTTCAGCATGACAATGATCCAAAGCAGACCACCAGAATATCAATGGAGTGGCTTCACAACAACTCTGTGAATGTTTTTGAGTGGCCCAGCCAGAGCCCAGACCTAAATCCTATTGAACATCTCTAAAGAGATCTGGAAATGGCTGTACACCGTTGCTTTCCATCCAACCTGATAGAGCTTGAGAGGTACTGCAAAGAGGAATGGGCAAAAATTTCCAGAATCTGGTGTCCCAAGCTTGTGGCATCATCTTCAAGAAGACTGGAGGCAGTAATTGCTGCCAAAGGTGCATCAACAAAGTGTTGAGCAAAGGCTGTGAATACTGATGTACGTGTGATTTGTCAAGTTTTTTATTTTTTATAAATTTGCAACAAATTCAAAAACTTTTTTTGACATTGTCATTATGGGATGTTGTGTGTAGAATGTTGAGGAAATAAATTATCCATTTTGGAAAAAGGCTATAACATAAGAAAATGTGGAAAAAGCGCTTTGAATACTTTCCAGATGCACTGTACATAATTCGATTGATGTTCATGTAAATGTGGGTAAATCAATTGATAAAAGTAAACAGCTTCTATAAAAGCTCCATTTTTTATTTGCATGTTGAATATTTACCCATTCCGTTGCCCATTAAAGCAGTGGGCAGCAGACAGCACCCACTCTTTGTTGATGAGAGAACCTCCACATGTTTGACCGCTGTACCAATAAAGACTAGCCTGCCATGGCCAGTGAACAGCTGAAGAGTTCTGACCTCCTACTGTACCATTGCTGCTGTTAACTGGGATTATTCCACACACCGCAGCACTGGGACTATCTAAAGCTGCAAACACATAAGAGTTTACATTGTATTACCTGAAAGTTCTTGAATAGCTTTGCTCTTTTTAAAAAGCTGTCCTTCTCAACTCCACATCAAGTATTGCTCCATGTTTACCCCTTCTGTTGTCTTAGAATTGTATATACACTCTTTGGGTCAAATATGAACTGCCTTCAGTTAACCTCTAAAATAAAGCAGCCAGATTTAATTTCAATCCCTAAAACTATTTTGAAACACTATTTAAGAAACAACCTCATCTTCATCTCACTCTCTGTGAATGTTTGGGTTTTTCCTCTTTGGTGCGCTGCATTTCATCAATGTTTAATTAGAGTCGTTTTTGACCAAAGTAAAGTGTGTATTTTCTAATGCTAAAAGTAAGCAAATCCTTTTTTATAAATGTTAAAGTGTGTGTCTGTGTGTGTCGATACATTCTTTAGTTTGCGGATGACACTTGTCTATGTCTGAACACAGAGAAAACAAAGGAGATGTGTATTGACCTGTGGCGGAAGCAGGCTATAGTTTTAGGCCCCGTTTACACTAGTGCGTTTTAGTTTGAAAACGCATAAGTTTTGCTACGGTTACGCCATCCGTCCACACTACGCCGGAGTTCTCGAGCGCCGAAAACGGAGCTTTTTGAAAACGCTGGAGAGGCCGTTTTCATTCTAAAACGCTGCTGCTCCGTCTCAGTGTGGATGGGGAAAGACGGAGACATCTGAAAACGGAGGCGGGGCTGCGAACGTTCGCCTATCTGATTGGGGCTTTTCCTCAATATTAAGTAGCCCACACACAGTTCAGTCTCGCATCCTCTTCTTGTAAGTTCAGACTTCGCAAGTTTGATCAAGGCTGCAGTCTCCCCTTTCTCAGTTTGATATGGAAAACATACCGAGCACACGGGTAAATCTTCAAAGGGAACAGTGTACTTTATAACTTCATTCACATCACCTTGGCTACGTTGTTTCACTTTCTCAACAATAAAATGTAAACATGATTTAAGGAACTGCCTATTTTCTTTTTAATATTAGCAACGTAACAGACAGCAGAAATGTTGAGGCGTCGTGCTGCATATATGAGCGTCATCTTCACTGTGTGGATATTTATAACAAAACGGAGCCTATAACAACTGCTTCCTTTCAATTTCAGTGAAAATACGAAACATGCCCTCTCTTTTGCTGAATATCAGTTTTAATAATCGATACTTATAAAAGTATAACATACAATAAGTTTATACATTGTAGGAAATAAAGACGAGCGATCAGTCAATGTACCTGGATTAATCATTAACTTATCTTTGCGCTTAACCAAAACATGTTACCCGTGAACAAGTAACTTAATAGATTCCAATGACCAAAGTCAGGGAATTGGCCTATGTCGTTAGATAAAGACAACAACATGAATGAAATATCACGTTTAGCAAATATAGTGAGATTAGATCCAGCGGGAGATGCGTGATGAGCAGTCCGACAAGCAGAGCTCTCATCTGGGTAGAAATGCTGGAGCGCTTGCCCGAGAGTGTGTGTGTGGTCACGTGATGTGCGTTTTCAGCGTTTTGGTGTGGACGGAGAGCAGTTCAGAATCGCTGGGTAAAACGCGAGTGTGGACGCGGATCGTTTTCATTCTAAAACGCCGTTTTAAAACTAAAACGCACTAGTGTAAACGGGGCCTTAGGTACTATGGTTGATAACCACCAGATTGAATTAGTCGAAAGTTACCTACCTAGGAATTATTGATAATATATTAAATTGTAAGGAGAACACTGAAAGACTATGTAGGACAGGCCAACAAAGACTTTATTTTCTGTGAAAATTAGTAAAGTTTAATATCGACAGGACTCTGATAGTAGCGTTTAACAAATCCTATATACGTAGAATCCATTTGAACCTTTTCATTGATTTGTTGCTTGCTGTTTGCTTCTTTAAAAGTAAAACATAAGAACTATCTAAGGTTTTAAATACCTGCTGCAAAGTATTGGGGAATCAATACTGTGGTTATCCTATTTTTATGAAATCCAGGTCTTAAAGAAAGATTACATCTGATATATCCCATCCTCTATTTGATTCATTTCAAACTCTTCCCTCAGGATCTCAGTCAAATCGCATCCAAAAAGGGACAATAAAGTTTACAGTAACAGTGTGTGTTACGTGCCAGTATATTTATTTTATTTTATTATTATTGTGGTGTTAAAATTGTTTTATAACAGGCAAAATTTACCCAAAGGACAACAGTTTTACCCTAAATGTGTAATAGCCTTTATTACAACATTAAAATGATTCCCCTTTGTTTCTGATGTTAAGGTAATTACATTTTGTTTTATTTCAAAATAAAAAAAGCAACAACATTGTTTAAAATGGTGCCTGGGTCATTTTTGACCCACAAGACAACAGGAGGGTTATTGTCTCTTTAAGTTTAGGGTATGCTTACACAAAAGCTAAATGCAAAAACAAAAGTTCTTCCCCTGCATTTCTGAAATATAAAGCTACTGTCAAAACAATCCCTGTTCACAAAGATGTCAAAACAACCATTAATCTACTATTAACTTTTGATCTTCTTTGGCTCTCTGCCAAGGCGTTGCACTTTTTTCCTCTCCCTCCCATATCTCTCCTGGCGCTGGCCCCTCTTGTCTCATCTTATTCTATCTCTAAGGCTCTCCTTGCCCTGCTCTCCAAACAAATAAGGAATTATGGATTTGATTGGTCTCTGAATGCAATTAAAACCATCTTCTTAACAAGAAGTTTGGGTTTGGGGGAATCCACCTGTCCTGCCGGGATGTTCGCAGCTGGATACGTGATGAACAGAAGGGAGAAGGGGCACGTCGTGCTCTTAGCCGCTCTGTCCCTTGAGGATAATGAAGATATCTCTCTATTCGGAACTTTGATAACAGGGTTTCTGCTGATGGGCTTATGCGGGTGTAACGGAGGCCAGCTAGTGTGTGCTGTGCAGGTTAACCTCACTCCTCTGACCTCTAAAGGTGCTCTAGCGACATATGCTAGAGGCCATGGTCTTTAGCCTCCTTGGTAGAACAACCGACTCCCATGCGGAAGATTGCTGGTTCGAATCCAGCTCAGAGCGGGTTGGGTGGCGTAAAACCGGCGGGGTTACATTGGTGCCGTGACCCGGATGGTAGTGAGGTTTAGGGGGGTGAGTGTAACGGAGGCCAGCTAGTGTGTGCTGTGCAGGTAAACCTCACTCCTCTGACCTCTAAAGGTGCTTTAGCGACAGATGCTAGAGGCCATGGTCTACCTCCTTGGTAGAGCAACCGAATCCCATGCGGAAGACTGCCGGTTCGAATCCAGCTCGGAGCGGGTTGGGTGGCGTAAGACCGGCGGGGTTACACAGGGTCCTGGGGTATCGACGATTGATGAAAGTGGTATGTGCCACTCAAAAACCCACCAAGCTGGCCAGCTGGATTGAAACAGTAGTGAGCTGTGTTGTTCAAACTAGATTGTGGCCTTGGACCGCAAATTGGAAAACATTGGGATGAAACTAGCGGCTGCGGCTCTGCAACAAGATTTGGTCAGACCTGAAGACCTGTGATGGACATTAAATATCTGCGAATTTGGCATATATTGTTCTTAATTAGAAAAACTTCTCTTCTCTTTCGGCTTCCCTTTGACTCTCCTGCCAGACGGCATCGGCTGGAGAAGAAACAACTTCCCCAGTATAGCAAGTTAAGGAGACTCTCTGAAATTCCTGCTCCCTGTTCCAAAGACACCTGTTGAGACTCTAGAGCAGGGGTCACCAATCTCGCTCCTGAAGGGCCGGTGTCCCTGCAGGGTTTAGCTCCAACCTCCTCAACACACCTGCCTGGATGTTTCAAGTATACCTAGTAAGAGCTTGATTAGCTTGTTCAGGTGTGTTTGATTAGGGTTGGAGCTAAAATCTCCAGGACACTGGCCCTCCAGGAACAAGTTTGGTGACCACTGCTCTAGAGGCTTACACACACACTCACATACACAGCTACAGATACTTGGCCCCGCATTTCACGCCTTTGTGTGCTTTCACCCGCCGGAGTGGGTAGGCAGGTCTGTGACCAGCGCTCTCTAGCGGCAGGACCAGTTGGCTGCCACCCTCATCAGACTATATTTACATGCCGTGTTCCCACCCTCTGTTGTTATGTCTATGTGTTTTTGTGCTTTGTTAATGGGTTTTTTCCCCCTGATCTGACACTGCCATAATTAAAATACATAAGTTTCAATGTACATTCATCTATGGACAAAAAATCAAACTTATGTACCTTGGGAATTAGTATTAATGCAACTTCCTGCAAAACAAAAACAGAGGCATATGTTATGAACACATCAACACATAAGGCTTACAACTTTTCAGAGCAAATAGAAAAGTAAAAATCTGAACTTAATGAAATGTTTACCTTTGACTTCTGATGAATTGTCAACACGAAATACCCATCTGCCCTTGACATTGACATTGCTTGTGTATGGCAGGTTTGTCACATCAGAAACAGGGATTGAATAGAAAACAGTAGAGCCGTTTGTGTCATAGCCGGACTGTTAATGAAAAAAAAAACACAAAGAAAAATGCTAAAGATCAAAAACTTGAGTAACAAATTATACTGATAGACTTTAAAGAGTGCTTTACCTCTGCAGATTGGGTGTAAGTGATATAATCATAATGCATGAGTGTAAATGACCGCTTTTTGTCAGACACTAAAACCACTTGGAAGGTAGACTCCTAGAAGAAACCACAAATTATTCATTAGTACAAGAATCGTCCTGTCAGAATAGGTGAAAATCACTTGTTAAGTTCTTTAAATGTTTATTTAATAATATTTTTGAATCGTTGATATGTTAAAGCATGACACAGTGTTCTAATTCATTCATTATTTTAAGACAAATAATTTTAAGATAAATTAAGGGTAGCGCAGTGGATAGCGCTGCTGCTTTAGCACGAAGGTCGCTGGTTCGAGCCTTGGCTGTGTCAGTTAGCATTTCTGTGTGGAGTTTGCGTATTCTCCCCGAGTTTGCGTGAGTTTACAGGTATCTGATCATTATTTAGTCATTCTGCACTAGAGGATGCCGATGGTGGTTCCGGTGGACAGTAATCCTCAACAAGCATTCAGATCTTCCTCCATTTTGTTAGCAATCATCCAACAATTCAATCAGTTCCCATTTTTCATTTCAGAAACTATTTCAATTGGGTAGGGGGGGGAAAGGAAATCCTTAACTTCTGTTTTAATGCTGTTTAATGGCGGAAAGAGTATTGAAAAATCATACTTAAGTAAAATTAACATTACTTGCCTAAAATGTAGTGTGAGTAAAAGTACCTGTTGTAAATATTACTCAAAGTATGAGTAAAAAGTAGACCTTTCAAAATTACTCAAGAGTAGTGAGTAGTGAGTATTACACTGTAAAAAGTTGATGCGTTTACATGTAATTTGTGGATTTGTGTGTAAACGTAACATTCTGTAGTGCATTTAGTGATTGCCCAGCAGGCACACAACGTCATATGACGTTAATATTAGGTTAGATTTAGGTTGTGATGTCAGGTGACCAAAATTCAATGTCTAGCCAGCGTCTAAGGACAATGTTATTTTGATGTCCAATAACAATGTTATAGTTATGTTAGAAAAACGACCAAAATCCAACAAAGCTAACATCTTAAACCAACAACATATCAATGTCAAATTCTGACATTTATTCACCAGGTACGGCAACCAAAATCCAATATCTGATAGACGTCATAGTAGTAACGTCTACACAACGTCAAGCTCTAACATCATTAGGCATTGATATACGATTGATTTTAGGTTTGCCGTTGGACATTGACGTTGGCCTGATGTTAACCCAATTTTCATTTCCAAACAAAGTAACAACACAATGTCAATCTGACGTCATGTTGATGTCTTGTGTCTGCTAAGGCGATTACGGTGATCATACAGTAAACATCCGTCATTTTCTCATCAGTGACAAGCATCTAAACAGTCTCTGGGTCAATGCGTGATGATTTTGGACATCTTCTTTGATATTTTTAATGCTTCCAAACAGTTTGCTGAAATTGTTAATCTCCCATGTCTTGAGGTTGTTCATTATACCTGTGCGATTTGATTAGACAGGAATCACAGGACTGATTTTTCTAATCCCCATAGACAAGAAAAAATAAAGAAGTGACTGCAGGTTGAAGGAAAGTAGTGAAGTAAAAGTACAGATACAGCGCTAAAAATGTACTCAAGGGAAAGTGAAAGTACACATTTATAAAACTACTCAGTATATTACAATTTCTGAGATAAACTACATAATTTCAGTAGGTTGAGTATTTGTGATTTGTTTCTTCACACCACTGATATTAACAGTGACATGTTCAGTAATCCTTGTTCGGAAATTATGCCTTTCAGCAAACTTAAGCAATCTGATGGATTAATTTTTACTCATACCATGCCTTAATAATAAACTAGAAAAAAAAATCTCTTTCAACACTAGCCTGAGGTGGTTTGAAGTTGTTGCACTGATTTCATCATCACTATTGGTTCTTGGATTGACGCTCATTGCAAGATAACACTTATCACTCTTAAAGGGTCACGAAACACCAAAACACATTTTCTGAGCTGTTGACAGTCGTATATGTGTCTCACACTGCTAAAAACACTATTAGGACACCTATATTTCACTAAAAAGTGTAAATTGGTTGTTATTTCAAGCAAATTCGTACTTCCTGTTTGAAACGAATTTTTGAAGTTGCGTCACGGTCATGACATAATAGCGTGTATTCCAGCGTGCAGACTGGACGCCTGTGCCAGAGTGAGTCTTATTACGTCTTACAGTGTGATGCATTAATGCATGAGTAAGGCTTGGTTCAAACCAATCAGCGCGCTCTATTGTGCAACTTCATTAATATTCATTACTGGTCACAGTGTTTAGACGACAGAGACGCCACGTTGTGTTGGCAAAACAAGCGTGAAGTGTTGCTTTTATAGTTTGCCGCAGTTAAGTTTCGTTTTCATTTTCTCTCTGTGAGAGCTCAGCTGGAGTCACGTGTGGATTAGCAGTGTACGCGACGCTCGACAACAATAACTTACGTGTCTAAGGAGGAACATTGTTTACCTGAGAGCTGTTCTCATCTGCAAACGCTGAAATACGGATTCGCTTGTAGTCTTCTCTTCATAAAGACGCGGCTCTAGTTGCTGTGGATTGTCCTGTCTCTACAGATTTGGTAAGTGAGCGACCAGTGCTCTTTGTTTATTCAGTTTGTTCGTATCTAACAAACTATTGCACCGAGTGTAAACATGTTAGCACCACAACCAAACTCATGTAAGGTTTTTACCGCATTTAGAGACCGGAATAACACACGCGGCTTTCTGACGCTACCTGCCGTGTGCATCTAAGTTTCCGGGAAATGCAGAGGTTTTTTACACGGTTAGAGCAGTTCCTCAAATCAAATATCTCGTTTGTCGCGAGGGGCATGAATGAATTCCCTGAATGAAAGAGCCAAACTGCAGTTAAAGTCCACCATTTAATAATTTGGCAAATAATTCGACTACAGATGTCCATGTAGGTTAAACACCCTCACTTTCTCCTGTGTGTGTGTGTGTGTGTGTGTGTGTGTGTGTGTGTGTGTGTGTGTGTGTGTGTGTGTGTGTGTATTTTGACTCTGTAGACACTCCCACACCATCCCACTTTTCTTCCTCTGACACTCCCCCCTAAACAGAGCTGGACACGCCCACTTTTCTGACTTTTTCCAAAGTAGAGGTGTGAAAACACCCTGCTGAAACGAGGGGGTTTCGTGACCCTTTAAGTCACACTGCCAGAAATTTGTTCATATCAACTATAAATCAGCTGTCAGCGGACGTCAATCCAAACCTAGGATTAAAGTCAGATTTTCAAAAATTGTCTCTAATGATCAAAATCATGGGCAAAAATTTCACCGTGTGAACGGGATTGTATTGACCCGGGGGGAGTGACAGATACAACTGGAGGTAAGATCCAATATGCAGGTTTAATCAGCGTCAGGCAAGCAGTGGTCAAATCAGGTACAATTGGGTATATGCAGGCAAATCCAAAATCGTAATCGTATTCACAGGCAACAGGTCTTAAAGCAGGCGGCTAAACAGGATAACAAGGAATGCAAGGCTAGGGTCTGAACACGGATAAACAAGACAGGAAGAAACGCGTTGTAATGTCACTATGTAGCAAACTGGATGAGTTCATGAGTGGCTTATGTGTGGTAAGCTATCAGTCTGTAACAAGGTTCAGCTGGTGATTGTAATCAGGATAGATGAATGAACAGGCGTGCGTGTCTGGAAGAAGTGCATGTATGAAAATGTAGTCCTGGTATAGTGGAAACCAGCGATCTCCGGAGAGCGATCGCTGGTTCTCGTAACAGGGACTTTAACCTCATGTACACTTTGGCTAGCTCTTTGTGAAATCTGTTTGTGTACTTTTCGAGAACGGTTTTAATAATTGTACTTTAATTTATACAAATTATGCTGTCATGGTTTTAAGATGAAGATAAATACATTTTTGAGAAAATCAAAATGACATTCTATGAAGAGTTTAAAAATCAATAGGGCTAAAAATATCTGAGATAAAGGATATGGTTAAAGTGCAGACTCTCCTCTATTGATCTGCCAAATTTCTTTACCATGTGATAGTTTGGGCTGCCATCGACTCAAAACAACAACAAAAGAAGAGAAAGAGGAACACTAATAGATACAATAGGTGTCAACGCATCTTAAACACTTGATGCTAGCAGAGCATAATAGCTAAAAGAATAACTTACTGACTCTCTGTATCCATAGTACGGTACTTTATCCCATGTAGCAATGAAAACCCATGAGGCAGAGAAGTTTAAGTTGGGAAAATATCTGTTAATGTCTTTTGACGCCCGATTCAAGATATCACCATTTGTTACTTGTCGGTACGAAATAGTTCCTTCCATTCCATTATTAATATCTGTCCACAGAGGGGCGATGATATCTCTAGTTGAGTATGCAGGAAAATTATCAGGATTATACTGGTGAAGCGGTTTATCAAAGGTCAGGTCTCCATTATTATTCACCTGTAGGATCAAAATACATTACCTCAATTTTTTAATTATCACCACAATTCAACATCATAGATGGAAAATATAAGAATGTCGTTAATGAATGCTTCTTACAAATATCGTGTCATATGTATTTCCAAAGTACACAAATGACTGCAGCAAGGGGATTGGTGGAGAACTTCCATCATCTGACTGTGGGTTTATCTCATCCTCTGCATCCCCATATGGATAAAATATTTCTAATACATCAAGTATTATTATGAGTGTTTAAAGATGAGGATAGAACGAAAAAAGGTGATAACATGCATTTCTTTTTCACTCATGCCATATTTGTGATATTCTCTAAATATTAAATTGTGTTGTTACCCTCATTCGATCTACCATCAACACGGAAAACCCAGCGTCCGGGCACATTGACATTGCTGGATTTGGAGAGCTTATTTTGATCAGGTAAAGGGATTGAAAAATAATTTGTTGAGTTTATTGTGTCATAACCAGCCTGAGTAAAAAAAACAAAACATTAATTAATACAAATTAAACCCATTAAATCCAGTTACAATGATATCAATACAGTAAGATCTTATTAATACTGTCTGAAAGGGGCTGTTTACACCTAGTCACTTCATGCGTTTTCTGTGATCAGATAGCTATCTGATCGAGAGAAGTACGTAAATACCCTCCGAAATGCATTCAAGACGGATATAACTTCTCAAACAACTTCAGGTGTCACGGTTTGTGTTGAGGAAAGGGCCGAGGACTCAAGTGCAGAACTAAATGGGTTTTTATTAATAGTAAAAATAAAAATAAACAGCAAAATAAACTACCCCGAGGGGGAAAACACTAGCAAAACAAATAAATAGACAAGCACACAGGACTAGGCAGGCTGGTAGGGGTGAGAACTAGAAACACGGCATGGGTATAAACGACGACATACGATGACAAACTGGCACAGGACAGCAGACATGAGGAGAATATAAGCAGAAGTAAATTAACACACAAACAGATGAACATAATTAACTAATAATGGGTTAACAAGGAGGGTGGAACTAGACAATAGACAGGAGAGCACATGACACAGAGACAACACAAGCCATGCGCTCACATAGGACAAGAACACGCAGCCAATAAGAGAACTCATTAACCGCGTGTTCATGACAACACAAGCACGCGATGCATGTAAACATACACCTCGTGCTAAACACAACACCAACAGAAGACTGAATGCAAGACACGATTACACGATGAATGAAAATACTCACCGTGCACTCACACATGCAGCGTGCATGGTTCATCCCAGCGCTGACCGAAACCGAAACTATCTGGACTGAGACACTGGGAATGAAACGCCACGCTGCAGACAGACAAACGTGAACACCCGGACGGGAGCGCGCACCTGCAAACACGCAAAGACCCCACGCGCCTGCATCAGGTGCGGACGCGCACAGTCCATGCGCATTCACAAATGGCGCTCATACAGAAAGACACACACACACACACACACACACGACAAAACAAGTCGGGACAGGACTAGACAGAGCTAGTTATCCGGACTCTGCCACTAAAACAAGAATTTACAAGAACAGAACCCTGAGATCAGGAGGAGGTCAGGGATGCACTTCAGACCAAATTGGACAGGTCTAAATACGTGAGATCGAGTTATATAAGTTATTTATTATAGTAAGATGTAACAGAGGAAAGATGCGACACAATGGCTCAGTGGTTAGCACTGTCGCCTCACAGCAAGAAGGTTGCTGGTTTAACTCCTGGCTCGGTCAGTTGGCATTTCTGTTTGGAGTCTGTAAGCTCTCCCCCATGTTGGTGTGGGTTTCCTCCGGGTGCTCCAGTTTCCCTCTCAGTCCAAAGACATGCGCTATAGGTGAATTGGGAAATCAAAATTGGTGTGAGTGAATAGGTGTATGGGTGTATCCCAGCACTAGGTTGAGGTTGGAACAGCATACATTGCGTAAAACATATGTAGGAATAGTTGGTGGTTCATTCTGCTGTGGTGACTCCTGATAAATAAGAGACTAAGCTGAAGAAAAAGGAACGAATGATTAACAGTGCCTATATTAATAGTACTTAATCTCGAAGCTTGTCTTGTGTGCTTGTGATGTTTCATTGGAACACGAATGAAGAAAGCATATATAAAATCCTGTAGCATATATAAATCATTAGTATGCTGAATATCTATTTAGTGGAGACACATTTAGCCTATGTGGCCAAATGATAAATAGAATTTAATTTTAATAAATCAAATAGCTATTCAATCAGAGGAAATGCATGAAGTGAGCAGCTATGAACAGGCCCAAAGTGTTGTAACAAGAGTCTTTTTATTTCCAACCTGAAATCTTTGACCAGTTGAAGAGATGTTGCCGTAGTTCATTATGACAAAGGAAAAAGTTCTGCACATGACTAAAACCACTTGGAAAGAGGAATCCTGCAAAAGTAAAGAAATACAGTAGGTTTTGTTGAGAAAAAACAAGTATAATTTGTCTACTCACTCTACAAAACTATGTTAAAAGGTGATCATTTAATAGTTTATACATTAATGGTGTAACCATTCAGTCTGCTTACCGATAATGAGCTGTTATAGTAGGGCACCCTGTTCCAAGTAGCAATGAGTACTGTATGTACCGAGAACCCAAACAGTGGGAAATACTGTTTGATTTCAGTCGTCGCCCGTTCCAGAATACGGCCTTGATTTACTATGCGGTAAGAGACGCTTGTGTCAACACTACTGTCAAACTCTGTCCACAGTGGAGCTATGATGTCTCTAGTAGAGTTGCCTGGGAAAGCCTTTGGGGATCCTTCATTAAATGACTCATTAAATGTCAAATATCCATTACAGTTGACCTACAGGAAAGATTTCAACATTTAAATGAGGCTTGTAATACATTCATGTACTTCAAATGTAATGAATTTAATGATATATCTCACAGATATGTTGTAATATTTGCGTTTGAAGTACAAGAAAGGAGATCGCAGGTACTGAAGATGTGAGTCTGCATTACTTTGACAGTAAAGCTTAGAGTCCTTAGTCGGATAAAACAGACCTGAAATAAAATTAAAAAAAAAACAGCCTCAGTACAGCACATGTAATAATTAAACATTAATTAGCTTCACAAGAACATTTTTTTAGAAATATATATATTTTTACCATATTCTGTTGTCAAAGTGTCAACACGAAAAGCCCAACGGCCTGTAAAGTTGACATTTGTGGAGTGGGACAGGTCAGTGATGTTAGACACAGGAATTTTATAATAGACGATTGAATCAGCCGTGTCAAATCCAGCCTAAGAATACAAACATGTGGTAAGAAGAAGCTAAAAATTTCACATGACTGAAAATAAAAATTAGTTCTAACCTACAGTGCATCCGGAAAGTATTCATAGTGCTTTACTTTTCCTAATTGTTTTAAGTTACAGCCGTATTCCAAAATGGATTTAATTAATTTATTTCCTCAATATTCCACACAGAATACCCCATAATGACAATGTGAAAAAAGAGTTTATGAAATTGTTGCATAAATAAAAAACCTGAAAAATCACATGCAAGTATTCAATAAATGCTCAATACTTTGTTGATGCACCTTTAGCAGCGATTACAGCCTCAGGTCTTTTTGAATGTGATGCCACAAGCTTGGGACACCTTTCTTTGGGATATTTTGTCCATTCCTCTTTGCAGTACCTCTCAAGCTCTATCAGGTTGGATGGGAAGTGACAGTGTACAACCATTTTTAGATCTCTCCAGAGATGTTCAATAGGATTTAGGTCTGGGCTCTGGCTGGGCCACTCAAGGACATTCACCGAGTTGTTGTGAAGCCACTCCATTGATATTTGGGTCAGTCTCCTGCTGGAAGATGAACCGTCGTCCTAGTCTGAGGTCAAGAGCACTCTGAAGCAGGTTTTCATTCAGGATGTCTCTGTACATTGCTGCATTCATCTTTCCCTCTATCCTGACTAGTCTTCCAGTTTCTGCTGCTGAAAAACATCCCCACAGCATGATGCTGCCACCCCCATGCTTCACTGTAGGGATGGTGTTAGCCTGGTGATGAGCGGTGCCTGGTTTTCTCCAAACGTAACGCCTGGTATTTACTCCAAAGAGTTCAATTTTAGTCACAGCAGACCTCAGAATTTAGTTTCTTATGGTCTGAGAGTCCTTCAGATGGCATATTCCAGGTGGGGAGTGGCTTCCGTCTGGCCACTCTACCATACAGGCCTGATTGGTGGATTGCTGCACAGATGGTTGTCCTTCTGTAAGGTTCTCCTCTCTCCACAGAAGAACCATCCTGTCCTGACATCCTGTCTTGGAGGTCTACAGACAATTCCTTTGTCTTCATTCTTGGTTTGTGCTTTGACATGCACTGTCAACCCTGGGAGCTTATATAAACAGGTGTATGCCTTTTCAAATCATGTCCAATCAGCTGAATTTACCACAGGTGAAGTCCAATGAAGCTGCTGAAACATCTCAAGAATGATCAGTGGAAACAGAATGTTCCTGAGCTCAATTTAGAGCTTCATTAATACTTATGTACATGTGATTTTTCAGGTTTTTTATTTTTAATAAATTTGCAACAATTTCAAAAAACCTTTTTTCGCATCGTCATTATGGGATATTGTGCGTAGAATTTTAAGGAAATAAATCAATTTAATTCATTTTGGAATGAGGTTGTAACATAAAAAATGTGAAAAAACTGAAGCGCTATGAATACTTTCCAGACGCACTGTATCTCTAATCCTGTAAATTTGAAAAGTCTCACCAGTGCAATATGTTTAATTTGGGGAATATTGGCATAATTAAATATAATGAATGATAAACCAGAACCGGTGATCAGCAATACTTGAAAAGTGGAACTCTGAAGAAAAACAAAACCGCAAATGATCACGCAAGAGTCACAAGACAACTGGAAACAAAAACTGAAACAAATCATACCTGTGAGATAGAAGTATTAGAAAATCTCACATTATCCCAAGTACAAGAATAGACAACGTCAGCAGTGAAAGCAGGAAAATATTGATTAATATTCTTTGTCACTAGCTGTAGAATTCGGTCACCAGTGAAGTGTTTTATGTAAACGTCGCTTTCGTCAATTTCTGTCCATAGCGGCGCAACAGTGTCAGTAAACCCATAAGCTGGAATAGCTTGAGTTGACTCTTCTTGTTGAAAGTTGAAAGTAAAAAATCCGTTTTTGTGGATCTAAATGGGATTTGAGGCAACAAAAACATATGTTGACTAATACATTCACTTGCTTGAAAAAATGGCTATAAAATGTATTGCATTTAAGGGTTAGTTTAGCCAAAAATGAAAATCCCAACCCATGCTTATTCTGAAAACGCACTGCTATATAAACTTCTGGAGAGTGCCAAATACGTCTCAGGAGTTTTTTTTTTTTGCAGTCTTTGTTTTTGCGAATCCACCAAAGACCACTGTGTACGCTTTTTCAGATCTCAAATTTCTCTTGCGAGTGCCATTCACGTCTGCTGTTCTTGCGTAAATCCACCAGAGGATGCTGTTGACGCGACTGACTGACAGCTTGATTGATTGACCCTAAACCCAACCAATAGTGTTTTCAAAAACACCAATTGACCTGCCCACTCCCTTCCCTAAACCCAACCAACAGTTTTAAAGAGCAATCCAGTAAAAAAAAGCTCTCGCCTGATTTTTATCACGTTTTCAGGTTTTACCACATTCTCACACTGTTATTTACTAGTTTATTTTATTTTTTGGTTTCTGTTTTAGTTTTACCCGCTTTTTAGAACCATTCTTCGCTGAACTCAAACCCCATCGTCATGGTCACATCCACTCTGCATATTAAGTCAGCCGACTTACATAGTGAGCTAACTGGACAAACTGGTAACAGCAGGAAAGCTGTCAGCTGGTAAGCGAGAAATGGAATGGCATCATACCACCCACGTAGTGTTTGTTTTAAAGACGAAATACAGCCATACATACTTTTGGCTACATAATTCTCAATCTCCAGAATTCTATATAGGGCTAAATTTTCAAAATGAGCCTATGTTGAAAATTCTGTTATTAGTTACTCACTCTCATGTCATTTCAATCCCCTGAAAACTTTGTTCATCTTCAGAACACAAATTAAGATAGTTTAGATGAAATCTGAGAGCTCTCTCTTCCTCCATACACAGCAATCATCAAGAAAAAGAACCAAGACCATTGTCAAAACAGTCCACATGACTTTACGGATTCAACTCTAATCGCATGAAGCTCCAAAAACACTTTTGCGAGGCAAATTGTCTTTAAATACAACTTTGTTCACATACATCTTCTCTCATGCATCAGCTCTTTAGGGTGCCCGTTTATTAGAAGCAATACAATGTATTTCCATTAGGATCAGCAGCAAAACACACAATCATTGTATTAGTGCTAGTTTTTGTTTTGTTTTTTGGTGCAAAAAGTGTTCTTGGAGCTTCATATGACAATGTGTTTGGTTCCTGTTCACTTGATGTCTATGGAAAATAAGGGAGCTCTCTGATTTCATCAATAAAAATCTTCATTAGTGTTTTTATTAATAATAATAATAGTAAGTCCTCACATTTTTATATAGCGCTTTTCTAGACACTCAAAGCACTTAAAACATTTTTGGGGGGAATCTACTCATCCGCCATTAGTGTACATCCACCTGGATGACCCGACAGCAGCCATATTGCGCCAGACCACACACCACACACCAGGTGATTGGTGCAGAGGAGACAAAGTGATGAAGCCAATAGCCGCATTTCCACTATCGGGCCAGTGCGAGCCAGAGCTTTAATCGGGCCGGGCCGGGCCAATAGCCCGGGAGGTTGAGAAATGAGGCCGAAATCATGTCGCGTTTCCGCTGTTGGGCTAAAAGCTCACAGCGCGTCACGCAAACACCGCCCACAGAACGTCCCCGAATCAAACGTCACACAACCCGCCCACTCCAGCGGGAATGAGGCAGATAAAGCACACCAGAATCATCACGAAACCATTAAAATGAAGACAACCGAAACAAACAAATGACACCTTACTGTACAGCAGTACATGAAATGTCTATACGCACAGACCTGTGTATTTCCATTCATTACATTTGTTTACTCGCCGACCGACTGTTGGCATTGTGCATTGCTCTCGCCACTAACGGACCCATCACAGAGAGCGCATCCGTCCATAGTATAAAGCCACAGAAATTCTCCTTTATAACTCGATATAGCACGTCTTATTAAGTGTTTCCGGCACAAGAAGAGCGAGTAGCCTAATAAAATATAGCCATATTTGTTGCGCTCAGCAGCTATTTACTGAAGCTCTTCATTTAAAGTTTCATTTATAAATTTAACCATGTCATATAAAAACATAAACAGTTGTTTGAGGATATAGAACACATGTTGTGTGTGGGCTTTCCCCCAATGCGTTTAAAGCAGCGAGCGCTGCGCAGGACTGAGTGACAGAAAAAAAGGTAGGCTAGATTCACTCACCCAAATATTGCTCTGTTTGCGCGATTTGATTTATATCATCGTATCCAAATACTTTATAAATAATATTTCAAACCTTCTCCGGTGTTTATTGTTTTTAGAAAATATCTAAAATCTTTTTTTTTTAGATAGGTCTTTGTAAAATGAAAGTTAGGCTATATGTGGCTTTAAAACGGTTTGATTTATGTATTGTATATAGGCTACCTACATTGTTATAGCTAGATTTTGTTTATTTTATATTGGTTTATTTATTTAATGTGATTTTATATATATATCTGATATTTGTAATTCTTTAAATTATATTTCAATATAGCTTAGGCTATTTTATCAAGAAATGACACTATATTGTTTAAAGTCTACGAAAGTGGGCACGTAATTTGATAAGTTTTATGTCTTTCTGTTGTATTTATATGTGTATTATCTCCAAAATAAATAAAGAAAAAAGCCGCTCGCGGCATAACAGAGCTGTGAAGGAGCGCTATTGCCCGGTCTCACACACACATACAGGCATCTAAACATGCACAAACACACCTTTTAAACTTGACAAAAACTCTCGAAAACCTTTATTGTCTGCTGTGTTTTTAATATGGTGTAATGATTATTATGCGTTATTGAAACATAAAGGAGGACGCAGCAAAGAACGTCACTATAAATTAAAACTATATTATTTTATGCAGCAGCCTTACATTTAAAAGGGAAACATAGGGGTGATCATACGCAAAAAGACCACAGACTATAAGGCTAGATGTTTTCTTTGCCTTATTTCTTTATTTGTTTGGCGCATGTACTCATGTGCGATCAGAAAACTGCCCGCCTCTCCTTTCACTCTGCCCCGAAGCCCCAGCTGGCCCTCCTTGGCCCAAGGTATTCGGCGGGCCGAAAAAGGCCGGCCGCTGGCCCCAAGAAAGCCCCGCTTTGGCCCGATTAAGCCCCGGAAGTGACAGTGGAAACGCTTTGGCTCGCTCGCTTTAGGCGCGATAGTGGAAACGCGGCTAATTACGATATGGGGATGGTTAGGAGGCCATGATGGACAAAGTCCAGTGGGAAAATTTGGCCAGGATGCCAGGGCATACCCCTATTCTTTTTTTGAAGGACATCCTAGAATTTTTAACGACCACAAAGAGTCAGGACCTCGTTTTAAAGTCTCATCCAAAAGACGGCGCTCACTGAGCAGTATAGAGTCCCCTTCACTATACTGGGGCATTAGGACTCACACAGACTGCAGGTTGAGCGCCCCCTGCTGGCCTCAATAACACCACTTCCAGCAGCAACCTAATTTTCTCATAATGGTGGGAGACCATGTGAGAGTTTTAGAAAGCTTGCAGCCGGCTAAGATGAATGAAAGTCTCATTGGAATGGAATGACGTGAGAGTGAATAATTAACTAAAGAATTACATTTTTAGGTGAATAAATGTTCTCACTTTAACAAGTCTGTGTCTGAGCCCATAGTAAGGAAACGGTGTCGGCAAAGAGATCCAATATCCGTAATACATATTAACTTTGTACCCATTCCGAAATGGACAGAAGAGTCCTGAAAGCATACAACAACATTCCACCACATATCAAACGGCCAGTTATCTGTTTAAAATTCAAATGACTTAAAAGATATGCAATAAATACCTTGTATTAATGATTAAGCTACAGTACTTTACCATTGTTTGCTGATGTGTTGTCAATTCGAAAAGCCCATCGACCCAACATGTTGACATTACTCGTGTACGGAAGCAATTTGGGGTCAGAGACAGGAATTAAAAAGAAATCAGTGGAATCAGTTGTGTCATAGCCGGACTGCCAATAAAAATAACAACAAAAAGAACATTTCACTTCAAATTAAACAGTTATCCAACTAGTAATAACTATAATATATACCTAATCAGCATACTGACCTGTACTTGATATGGAGCTTGAGAGATACTGCCGTAATGCATGAGTATAAATGACATGTTTTTTCCAGACACCAAAACTATTTGAAAAGTTGACACCTATAAGATAATTAAATTAACACATACAGTTGAAGTCAGAATTATTAGCCCCCTTTGATTTTTTTTCTTTTTTTAAATATTTCCCAAATGATGTGTAACAGAGCAAGGAAGTTTTCACAGTATGTCTGATAATATTTTTTCCTCTGGAGAAAGTCTTATTTGTTTTATTTCGGCTAGAATAAAAGCAGTTTTTAATTTTTAAATACACATTTTAAAAAAAAATGTTACACTGTAGTTTACTTACACTCCGTCTGTATCCATAGTATGGTACTTTATCCCATGTAGCAATGAAAACCCATGAGGCAGAGAAATTTAAATTGGGGAAATATTGGTTTACATCTCTTGAGGCCCGATTCAAGACATGACCGTCTGTTACTTGTCTGTAAGAGATAGCTCCATTACGTGTGATGTCAATGTCTGTCCATAGTGGGGCGATGATATCTCTAGTTGAGTAGTATGCAGTAAAAAGATTGGGATAGTACTGGTAAAATGGTTCTTTAAAAGTCAAGTACCCCTTGTTATTCACCTGTTGCAAAACCAAAGTAGTGATAGCTCAGTCATATTGTATTCTACAGAATGTAAGCCTACAAGGTCGGGAATATGATAATGCTGCTTACGTATAGTCGATTATAAATTAGCCCAAAGTAATTAAATGGCTGTGCCAGGTGGATCAGAGGAGAACTTCCAAAATCCTCTGCAGGGTTCTTTATATCCTCATCTCCATGTGGATAGAAGAGTCCTGTAATTGTAAATATCACATCATATTATTAGGGTGCTTTCATGCATAGACATTTGTTTTTGAATCTGATGTGTTTGCCCCCTTAGCTTAATTGAGGCCAGCTGAGACTCGTTAGGAAAGGGGAATTTAGGGCATGACGCTGGAGGAGGAAATCAGAGCATGTTTGGACTAAAGGCTTGTGGAGTTCCCATCTTCAGCTACCATTCTGTTTCCACTGATCATTCTTGAGATGTTTCAGCAGCTTCATTGGAGTTCAACTGTGGTAAATTCAGTTGATTGGACATGATTTGAAAAGGCATACACCTGTCCATATAAGGTCCCAGGGTTGACAGTGCATTTTAAGCACAAACCAAGCATGAAGACAAAGGAATTGTCTGTAGACCTTCAAGACAGGATTGTCTCGAGGCACAAGGCTGGGGAAGCTTACAGAAAAATTTCTGCTGCTCTGAAAGTTCCAATGAGCACAGCGGCCTCCATCATCCATAAGTGGAAGATGTTTGGAACCACAAGGACTCTTCTTAGAGCTGGCCGGCCATCTAGGCTGACTGATCGGGGGAAAAGGACCTTAGACAGGGAGCTGTATGTATAATAGCTCAGCAAAATCCTGGAAAATAGACCTAACTTTGACCAATGTGAGGAGAGTGTACTAGCATGTGACTTGTTTGAACTATTTTTTTCCGTTTAGAAACTTTGCCATGTGAAAGTGAACCTCACCGACAGCAAAAAGAAACATTATAACAATTGTAATCCCTGTTTTAGAACAAAACAGTCCATTTATAGGTGTGAAAGCACCCTTAAGTAAACTATAATATCAAATTGCTTAGTGTTTTTTTTAAGGCTGTTCTGCAAAAATCTATCTGTGGTCATTTTCTGCAATGTGCAATTTAATTGTTCTGATTAAATCAGATGTGCTTCTTGATTTCAGATAAGTCGCTCCATGGTAACAAAGTTATAATATTACCTTCTTCAGGTCCACCATCAACACGGAAAGCCCAGCGTCCAGATAGATTGACGTTGCTGGAGTTGGACAGCTTATTTGCAGTGGGAATGGGGACTGAAAAATAATTTGTCAAGTTCATTGTGCCGTAGCCAGCCTGAGAAAACAAAAATCAAACATTAACAAAAGGCTCTGAAGAACAAGATGTATAATAATATATAGACAAGTTCTATAGAGCAAAGGTTCAGAGATACGGGTGCAAATTTTCTAACCTGAAACCACTGATCCGTTGAGGAGATGTTTCCATAGTTGATCATGACAAAGGACAGAGAGCCACCAGAGACCAAAATAACTTGAAAAGATGAGCTCTGTTAAAGAAATAAAATGGCCGGAACTCACTGACAGCTCTTTTGGTAAATTTTGCAGAGCTTAACCGAAAACAGTTCTAGCCATCCTCCCATACTCATCATGACATATTCGTGTGACCAGTAATTTGTATGCTGGACTATCACATTAAAGAAAGGTTGGATCAATCAGACCTGTGCATACTTTGAAGACCAATTGTGTGTGTACTGTACACTGGTTTTGGTGGTTTGCAAGTACACAAATGTGTATAAAGACATGGCTACAACCAGTGCTTAATTTGTAAATTGCGAGGTCCTGGAACAGATCAGGGCAATGGATCCAGCAGGTTACCAGAGGAGGGAGAGGTGTCACGGACAAAAGTGAAGAGGGTTGGGGAGTCGCAGAGGAAAGTGAAGGGACGTTGTGTGTGAGGAGGGGGATCGATGAAATGAACTGCTGGATCCAGCTTGTTACGGCACAAATTAAGCCCTGGTTACAACCTAGTTGTACTTAATTAAAGTGGTTTAAGAGGACATGCCTTGTGTACTCGTATATCAAAATGCTTAATCATCATATTTAACGGCATCATCAAATTTTGCCACGAGTTTCTTGTAAGGCATGGGTTTAGAGTTAGGACTGGGGTAGGGAAAATCTAATTTTATACTATAACATACATTACGCCAATGTAGAGTCCACCAATACCAACATATAAACAGAAATGGGCAGCATGATGCATAGGTGAATTGGAAGCCTAAGTCCAAAGAATGCCTATGCAATGTGAAGTGGGCACTGACAAGTAAAGTGCGGATCCAAACGCAGGTTTATTAGAGAGGTCAGCCAAGCAACGGTCAACACAGGGGCAAACGGCAAAACCAGATTCAAGGTCATAAAGGTTAGACAAGGTTTGCATGATCCCCTCTGTTGGTGTGGGTTTTTCCCACAGTTCAAACACATGTGGTATAGGTGAACTGAATAAGATAAATTGGGCGTAGTGTGAATGTGAGAGTGTATGGGTGTTTTACAGTAATGGGTTAGGGCTGGAAGGGCAGGATAAGCCCAAGGAAAATGAATAAATGAATAGAGTGTACAGGAATGACTGGAAAGAGTTCACAGATTGATGGTAAATATTACATTTTGTTGCTGTGGCAGTGGCTTCACTTCCAGTTTACAACAACTGTCAATTGTTATTTTGGTTAGAAACAACTTTCGGATATGGTTTTCGAAAGTTAACGAGAATTATTCATATTATTTATTAAATTTCCCATTTATTGTATTTTATTAATGCCTACCCCCAGCCCAAACCTAAACCCAACTGTCACAGTAATGTAAAAACAGTAGTTGTACCGAGTATTATTAATGTTATCTACTAAATTACCCAATAAATTGCATTTTTAAAGCTCTTCTGTTACATTGTGTATAAGATCGATAGAAAATGAAAGTTGCTATTTTCTAGACCAATTCGACTAAGAACTTTTTTCATTGCAGCGTAGGCTAATAATCATATTTTGCACTTGAAAGCAGTCCCAGCTAAAGCCACTTTCAAGGTTAAGTCTAGATAGGATACAGCTGCAGATATGCACATCAATATAGCATAATTAATGATATTGTATAACAATAATTCATATTTTTACAGTACCGTGTTGGGTGGGTTTAGGGTTAGGGTAGGGGTAGACGTTAAAATACACTTTATTGGGTAATAATAAATAATATATTGTGACGGTTGAGTGTAAGGTTGTGGTATGGGTAGACGTTAATAAAATACAGGCTGTTTCTCAATTCCAAGACCGCAGAGAACAGACTTGTGGAGACCGGTCTTGCCAGGTGTCTTCTGAAGAACGAACTCAGGAGACCGCGAGGGCAGAGAACGCGTCCTTTGAGAAATGGGATGCTGCGTTCTTCCTGATGGTCATGTGACCTTCACGCGTTTTAAATGGAAATTATTTAAACATTACAGCTAATTTTAATACGAATTTCAGCAAACAAACACCCTTAATGCGTTTATTCCTTTAATATGGTGTTCATGTTAATGTTTACTTTCACCGTTTCATTTAGGGAAACTCCTGAGGTAAATAAATGATATCTCTGAACTTTAATAAAAAAATCTAAATAAAATGCTGCGCTTCCCACCTCCAGTCCCAATGACTTCTGGGACTTCCAGAGCGAGTTCGGTGCTCAAGTCTGCATCAGTGTGTCCTCAATATCATGATCACATCCCGGAAGTTTCACACATCCTCCGTACTTGCGGTCTTGAGTATTGGAACTGAACTTTGACAGCTGATGATGACGTTACACGAGAACACGAGGACGCAAGACCGCATATTGAGAAACAGCCACAATTAAGGAGAAATTTCATAAATAATAGAAATTGTTTCCGTTAACTTCTGATATAGCAACAACCCTCTTTCATTTCCCCAACCCTAAACCCAACCATCACAGTAATATAAAAACAGTAGTTGTACAGAGTATTATTAATGTTATCTATTAAATTACCCAATAAATTTAATTTATTAATGCCTACCCCCAACCCTAAACCCAACCGTCACAGTATTGTAAAAATATTATTGTTAAACAGTGTAAAAAAAAAAAGCTACTATAATTGATGCACATATCGCAATTCCGGCTGGCAGCGTATTCGATCTAGATTTACCAACAACTTTGGAGAGATAATCAAACTTGGTAACTCATTTCAGCCAACCTAAAATATCCATGTCATCCATATGGACACCAAAAAATAATAAGATTAAATGTCCCATATCTAATGCTCACAATACACAAATTATAACTTACCGACTGTGAGTCATTAAAGTACGGCACTTTATCCCAAGTAGCAATAAAGATCCAATAGGCAGTGAAGTTCAGATGTGGAAAATACTGGTTTATGTCGTTTGATGCTGCTACTAAGAGTCCACCTTTAGTGAGCTGCCGATAGGAGATGCTTCCATTGACAGTGTTGTCCATGTTTGTCCAAAACGGAGCAATAATGTCTCTGTTGAGTTTTGACAGTATAACATTGGGTATCGGCTCTGAAAAAGGGCCGGCAAATGTCAAACACCCGTTGTTATTAACCTGAAGCAGGGGTAGTACAATGATATTAGAGTTTTGAATTCTTTCAACCAACAGTATATACAGTTAAAGTCAGAATTAGATTTTGATTTTCTTTTTTAAATATTTCACAAATGATGTTTAACAGAGCAATGAAATTTTCACAGTATGTCTGATAATATTTTTTCTTCTGGAGAAAGTCTTATTTGTTTTATTTCGGCTAGAATAAAAGCAGTTATGAATTTTTTAAAAAACATTTTTGGGACAAAATTATTAGCCTCTTTAAGCTATTATTTTTCCGTTAATGTACAGAACAAACCATCGTTATACAATAACTTGCGTAATAACCCTAACCTGCCTAGTTCACCTTATTAACCAAGTTAAGCCTTTAAATGTCACTTTAAGCTGTATAGAAGTGTCTTGAAAAATATCTAGTCAAATATTATTTACTGTCATCATGACAAAGATAAAATAAATCAGTTATTAGAAATGAGTTATTAAAACTATTATGCTTAGAAATGTGCTGAAACAATCTTCTCAGAACAGAACAGAAATTGGGGAAAAAAAAAACAGGGGTGCTAATAATTCTGACTTCAACTGTATATGAGCTTATTTCAGGGTTCTGTCACATTTCATCAATCTGAACAGTTGATTGTACAATAGTAATGATCTTACATAAGTCTGTTCATAAACACGTCCGAAATATACAAAGGGCTTTTGGAATACAACTGGGGAGTGTCCATGATCCTGAGAGGGGTTCTCTGTGTCTCCATTTCCAAATGGATAAAAAAGTCCTGAAACTACAAAATATTAAGAATTGAAACGAACAATGACTTAACACTGAATCCAGTCAATATGATATAGCAAGGAGTTTGTGATCAGTGGTGTAGTCGGGGCTATACGCACGTATACTCCATATGCCTACCTTTTTTCCATGAGCTGTTTGGGTATTACGACTTCTGTTGATCAATAATTGCATATACCCTCAGTATACTCACTTGTTTTGCTGATTAAACTTCCCGAATTTATGTGTGTTCGCGTCCCCTTTAACTGTATACCAATTTTTTAACTTTCATCTGAAATTGTTGCAATTGTTGCATCATTAACTTGCTCCATTCCCCACCCCTTGACGACTGTAGCAGAGTTTTTCAAAGACGACAACAAGCCAATGATGTCTCACTGAAACATTCAAGTCAAATAATAAAACAGCATGGGCCTCGCTTTATAGTCCCTATATTTCTATTCAGCCCCCCTAAAACTTTTGCGATTATCTCATGAACTGTACACTACGCAGTCCCCTATAAATTTAATATGTAAACGGCGGGAGACTTTCGCCACTTCGTTTTCAACTCGTTCTTAATTGAATCAGCAAACCACAGATTAGACCATCAGCATACCGCTTTAAAATTAACTAATTTGTTGTAATATTTTTTTTATTTTAACTGGATAATTCACCCCTCAAAATAAAAATGTTCATCATTTACTCAACCTTGGTTCAAATCGGTTTGTCTTTTTTTATTCTGTTGAACACAAAATATAATTAAAAAAAAACTGGAAAAGTGTAACCATTGACTTCCATAGTTTTTGTTTTTTTCTTCTGTGGAAGTTAAAAGTTACAGGTTACTTGTGTTGATAAATAAATATTGCTAATGATTAAAAAAACCACTGACTTCCGTCGTTTCTTTGCCTACTTTAAATATTTGGGGTGGAGGGTAATAGTACACCACCTTTTTTGTTAGGACTACACCACAAGTTGTCAAAGACATTTTAAACTGTTTCACCTTTGACACAACTATTTCTGATTTTCAACACTTCCCAAAATTTGTTTTCTTTTTAAGGCTCATGATTATTATGTAAAAGTGTTTATTCACAATTTAAACTATGAAGTTTACAATCTTTTAAAAAAAAAGTTAAATAAATTGAACATTTATTTAAAAAATGACTAATTGTGCTCTCTGTTGTGATAGGTTACTATTAGGTTACTATTGATTGTTAGCTGTTTTCGCTCTTACCTGTATCTTCTCCATTGCACAGAAAGCTGTTGTCTTTGTCTTCACCGTCAGATTTAAAAGTTTCCAATCCGATGTCTGACCCGTTAACATTATTTAGGATCCAGCTTTGGAATTCGGATACTTTAGAATAAACGTCAGGTGCAACTCCAGTGCCGCAAAACCCAAAATTAGTAACACCAGCTAAGATCCACACAGATCCCTGCATACACTGTAAAGGATCACCTAATTGTCCCTAAAAAAGAAAGCGGGAGACATGACATACAATTAAAACTGTGAAAGTATCACATAAAGTGGACTTTTGTTTAATTATTATTAGTTTGTTCTGTTTCAACACGATTATGTTTTTGTTTGCTTCCATGATAAGCATCTGTCTCTTATTATACATTAATTTAATTATATAATTCAGCCTCGTCATTCATTAATTTTCCTTTGACCTAATGCCTTATTTATCAGGGGTCGCCACAGTGGAATGAACCGCCAACTATTCCAGCATTTGTTTAACACAGTTTAAATTAGCTATAGTGTATGAGTGTGGATGCTGGAATAATTGGCGGTTCATTCTGCTGTGGTGACCCCTGATTAATAAAGACACTAAGCCGAAAAGAAAAAGAATGAATGAATGAATGAATGAATGAATGAATGAATTAATTAATTAATTAGCTATAGTGTATGAGTGTGAATGCTGGAATAATTGGCGGTTCATTCTGCTGTGGTGACCCCTGATTAATAAAGTCACTGAGCCGAAAAGAAAATGAATGAATGAATGAATGAATAAATAAATAAATTAGCTATAGTGTATGGGTGTGGATGCTGAAATAATTGGCGGTTCATTCTGCTGTGGTGACCCCTGATTAATAAAGGCAATAAGCCGAAAAGAAAATGAATGAATGAATGAATAAATTAGCTATAGTGTATGAGTGTGGATGCTGGAATAATTGGCGGTTCATTCTGCTGTGGTGACCCCTGATTAATAAAGGCAATAAGCCGAAAAGAAAATGAATGAATGAATGAATGAATGAATAAATAAATAAATTAGCTATAGTGTATGAGTGTGGATGCTGGAATAATTGGCGGTTCATTCTGCTGTGGTGACCCCTGATTAATAAAGGCAATAAGCCGAAAAGAAAATGAATGAATGAATGAATGAATGAATAAATAAATAAATTAGCTATAGTGTATGAGTGTGGATGCTGGAATAATTGGCGGTTCATTCTACCGTGGTGACCCCTGATTAATAAGGAACTAAGTTGAAGGAAAATGAATGAATGAATAGTTTACCTGTGGCAAAATAAGACTGATGTTACATGAACAGCAAATTTTAAGCTATACTGTCTGCTAAATGTAATCTTTCATGTACTCTTTATAATATACAGATGTAATCTACTGTATAGTGAATTGCTTCCCAGTCATGCCTGAAAAGATTTTAATGTGTCGCTCAGTCATAATAAAGAGTTCAACAATGCATGAACTGTTGTGACTTACAGAACACGCTCCATAGCCTGTCTCTCCACTGGTACACATGGTCGTCTGTGTGATTGTTATATCCCAATAAAGTTGGATGTCTTGATACCTGCAGTCACATTCCTTATTCCCCACCACTTTTACCATCACAACTGGCAGAGTTCCATAGCTAGACGGAGTATCTAAGTGGTAAATATATAAGAAGTCTTAGAGACATTCTGATAAAAATAAGTATTAAAATAAAAAATACACGGGTCAAGTGTTAACTGCAGTTTTTTTTTTTTGTACTGTTTTTTACTCTTTTCTTCTTTTGAGCTTACAAATGTCAATAACGTGACTTTACAACATTTTGATCCTTATTATCCTAAGTATAAGGGAGAATTAATTGAACTACTTGAAAGAAATTTGAAGCTCATTGTTTGACAACCACATTTAAAGGATAGTTCACCCAAAAATCAAGATTTGCTCACTATTTACTCACCGTCAAGTCACCAAACATTTATAAGTTCTTTCTTCTGTTGAACACTAAAGAAGATCTTTAGAATAAAGCTGAAAACCCGAAACCATTGACTAGGAAAAACAGATACTATGAAAGTCAATGGTTTCTGGTTTGAAGGTGTCTTCAGAATACCATCTTTGTGTTTAACAGAAGATTGAAACAAGTACAGGGTGAGTAAATGATGACAGAATAGGATTTTATTTTTATTTTTATGTGGACTATCTCTTTAATATTTAATGCACTACATCATTTTATCAACTGGAGTTTCAATTAATTCCACTGTTTATAAAACATAATAAGGTGGGACATCTGTAAAATGTAATAAATAAATAAAAAATCTAAAACTGTAATCTGCCAACACAATATTGCATGTAATGTGGAACAAAATGAATGCCAAATATATTTTAAAATAAAAAGCTTGTTGAACAGCACTAACTGAAGAAATAATGCATTGAATGAACAAGTACTTGCATTTTAATGACTTGAATTGCTAGGTTTTGCATTTTTAGGTCCTAAAATTTAACACACTCACTGGCCACTTTATTAGATACAGGGTTGGACCCTCTTTTTCCTTCAGAACTGCCTTAATCCTTCGTGGCGTAGATTTAACAAGGTACTGGAAATATTCCTCAGAGATTTTGGTCCATTTTGACATGATAGCATCACGCAGTTGCTGCAGATTTGTCGGCTGCACATCTATGATGTGAATCTCCCGTTCCACCACATCCCAAAGGTGCTCTATTGGATTGAGACCTGGTGACTGTAGAGGCCATTTGAGTACAGTGAACTCATTGTCATGTTCCAGAAACTGGAATGAAATGATTTGCGCTTTATGACATGGTGCGTTATCCTGCTGGAAGTAGCCATCAGAAAATGGGCAAACTCATAAAGGGACAAGCATGGTCAGCAACAATACTCAGGTAGGCTGTGGTGTTGACACGATGCTCAATTGGTACTAATGGGCCCAAAGTGTGTCAAGAAAATATCCCCCACACCATTACACCACCACCAGCAGCCTGAACCGCTGATACAAGGCAGGATAGATCCATGCTTTCATGTTGTTGACAACAAATTCTGACCCGACCATCCAAATGTAGCAGCAGAAATGGAGACTCATCAGAGCAGGCAACGTTTCTTCAATCTTCTATTGTCCAGTTTTGGTGAGCCTGTGTGAAATGTAGCCTCAGTTTCCTGTTCTTGGCTGACAGGAGTGGCACCCGGTGTGGTCTTCTGCTGCTGTAGCCCATCTGCCTCAAGGTTGGACGTGTTGTGTATTCAGAGATGGTCCTATGCAGATCTCGGTTGTAATGAGTGGTTATTTGAGTTACTGTTGCCTTTCTATCAGCTGGAACCAGTCTGGCCATTCTCCTCTAAATTCTCACTTCAACAAGGCATTTGTGCCCACAGAACTGCAGCTTACTGAATATTTTCTCTTTTTCACATCATTCTCTGTGAACCCTTGAGATGGTTGAGCGTGAAAATCCCAGCAGATCAGCAGTTTCTGAAATACTCAGTCCAGCCCGTTTGGCACCAACAACCATGCCACGTTCAAAGTCACTTAAATCCACTTTCTTCCCCATTCTGATGCTCGATTTGAACTTTTGCGTTAACGAACAGTTGGATAGGTGTACCTAATAAAGTGGCTGGTGAGTGTAGTTATTTAAGATGTGACAATATCAAAAATCACACACATTTTCATACTTGAATTCAATACATCCAGAGTTTACTTCAAATTAGGTTCTGTTTTAAAAAAAATATGATGTATAATAGTGACAGTGGCGCAGTAGGTAGTGCTGTCACCTCACAGCAAGAAGGTCGCTGGTTTGAGCCTCAAGAAATAAAATGAACGGAAAATTGCCTTTTGGCTATTATACATTGTATTTTTGAACAGAACTGAGTATTTTGGAAGGGAATTCTGGAACGTGCATATGAAGTATTGAATTTAGGTATGAAAATGTGTGTGAAATACTTTTAGTTCACAGCTTACTTAATCATTTATTCATTCATTTTCCTTCGGCTTATTCTGATTTATCAGAGGTCACCATGGCGGAATGAACCGACAACAATTCCAGCATATGTTTTACGCAGCAGATGTCCTTCCAGCCGCAACCTTTAATTCTCACACACACACACACACACACACACACACACACACACACACACACACACACACACACTTATACACTACGGTCAATTTTGTTAATCTAATTCACCTATAGCACAGGTGTTTGGACTGTGGGGGAAACCGGAGCACCTGGAGGAAACCCACACTAACACGGGGAGAACATGCAAACTCCACACAAAAATGCCAACTGGCCCAGCTCGAACCAGTAACCTTCTTGCTGTGAGGCAACAGTGTTAACCACTGAGCTATCATGCTGCCTGTTACTTTTAGGACCTAAAAATAAAAACCCTGGCAATTTAAGTCATTCAAATTCAAGCACTTACTAATTCAATTCATAATTTTTTTTTAGTTTAACCATCCAAAAGTGCTATTCAACAAATACTTTTGGCATTTGTTTTGTTCCCTATAGTACATGTAGTGAAACTGATGATCATTACCTTGATTATAGCTCCACCCAGTGGCCCAGCAGGTGGTGCCGTTGTGAAAGACGCTGTCATTAGCAGCCAGGCAGATGGGGCTGATGGAGCTGGTGAAGTTCACTGGTTTAGCAAGTCTCAGCAAGGCGATGTCATTGGTGAACTGAAGGGAGTCAAAGTCTGGATGTATAATGATAGACTGGGCACTCAGGGTAACCCTATTTGCGTTGGAGTCCGAAGCGTTTTGGCTGTTTCTACCCAGATAGACAGTGATGTAACTTTTAGGTCTGGATGAGAAAGCAAAAACCTTCAGTGCGCTTGCTTTAATGATAACTCACATTAAACCACATGCTATTTTGTGTTCTTACATGTAGTAAACGCAGTGAGCTGCAGTGAGCACCCACTCGTGGCTGATGAGGGATCCTCCACAAAGGCGATACCCAAAATAGTACAGATCGGCTTGCCAAGGCCAGGTAACATTACCAGCAGACACATTCCCACCTGGAGAGTTTAGTGGAGAAACTCCACAACTCTGTGCTGTGGAGAATAGCCAGAAATGTAAATAATTTGTGAAATTTGACAGATTTTTAAACTTATAGGGTGCTTTCACACCTACACTTTTGTTTAGGAACGTATCTCGTTTGCCCAGTTAGCGCGGTTCGTTTGGCATATGTGAACAGGGCAATCGCGCTCTGTTCCACACCAAAGTAATCGCTCCGAGATCGCCTGAGTGAGGTGGTCGGCTCGATTGAAACGAACCCTGGAGCGGTTCGATTACAGTGAGAAAGCGATCCGATCCAAGCGTGGTTAAATCACAGTGTTTTATGGATATGTAATAAGCTTACGGCTATATGAAGAGAGAATTATGAGTAGGGCGGGAAGTTTCGCGAGTCTCCGGATGCCCGCAAACGAGTGATGATCTCCCGGTAATCTCGCGTCTCCCTCCCGGTCCTCAAATAGGCATCGTCGCACACCCTTCTCACCCCTCCCCACCGCATCTCTCCTCAGACACGTCGCGTGCTAAAATTGACTGAACTTGTATGAATTAGCCACTAAACTGACAAAACTAAAAGTAGTTACATTTCCTCGTGAGGCTGGGTTGTGTACTTCTACATAATTGTTTTCCAGCTATAATTTTGGTAATAATTTACCGTTAGGAACAAGTTTAGGGGTAGAGATTAGGTATGGATTACATTTTCGAACAAAAATGACATTCCAGGATCAACATAACTTAGATGTTAGTTCATTATTGCATCCTACTGTCGTTTGCAAATCACACCCATCTAGTAAAGACGCACCCTAACAACCTGATGTCAACCATTTGTTTCGGTGCACAAAAGTATTCTTGGAGCTCAAGTCTCATGGAATGTATTTGGTTCCTTTTTCCGGACTTGGTTTTAAGAGCGTTTCTGTCTATGGAGGATGAGAGAGCTCTCGGATTTCACCTGAAATACCTTCATTTGTGTTTTGAAGATGAACAAAGGTCTCAGTGGATTGGAACAGCATGAAGGCGAGTAACTTATAACATAATATTCATTTTGGGTGAACGATATCACTAATCATAGTATTACCTGTTACTGCTTTTCCCATGCCACCTAGAAAGCAATAACAGAGTGAAAGTTGTTATGAAGTCAAATAACATTTCGAGTGTGTTATTAGTGTGTTATATAACAATCGCAGCTAGTGTATAAATAAAAAACATCATCTGCCACAAATAATGCTGCCTTCATGATATCTGACATACTTGGGGCTCCTCACTATCAAGAAGATTTGTGTTGAATAGAATGAAACATGACATCAATATTAACATTGACTACATAGCTTTCTATCATAAACAAATAACAAACACTGTACATCTCTATATATTTAGGCTTAAACACCGCTTTATTTATTTATTTATTTATTTATTTATTTATTTATTTATCTATGTATGTTTGTACTTTCATCCCCAATTTATGTTAAATGTAAAGAAGAATTAATTAGAACTAATTTCTAATAACTGAATTTTCTAATAACTGATTTATTTTATCTTTGTCATGATGGCAGTAAATAATATTTGACTAGATATTCTTCAAGACACTTCTATACAGCTTAAAAATTCCTTGCACTGTTAAACATCTTTTGGGAAATAGATTT